CCGCACTGATTTTATGTGTTTGTTTATTTGCTTTTGAATGTAAACCAGAGGTGGCTTTAGGGAATTCCATAGCTTAAGTATTTAGAGAATGGTCTATAAGGGAGAGGACCTTATAGTGAAACCCAAGCCACCATCCTAGTGCAATGCAAGCCTAGGGTCCCCTGACTTTTCCTTCTGAAAGTGAATCAGAAGAGCCAATCCATTTCTTTAAAAAAAAAAAATGGTTCTGGAGACCTTTGTTTCTGAAGCATAATTCCCCCCAACGATCTGACTGGGAGAGACTCTTTGCCAGCTAAGAAATGTGTCAGGTTATGTTCCAGAACACGGTAGTCACTCTTTCTGTCCCTGGAATTCCGATGGGACATTGACAAGGTTTTTTTCCATTGCGTTTTTCTTCCTGCTTGGAGGCTTGGAGTTAAGGGGCAAGAGCCTTTGCTAATGGCTTTTCTCTAATCTCCTCATTTGTATTTCTAGTCAGTCGTCTCTCTGGGCTTTTGGACATAATTAGATGGCCACAGACGGTGGTACTCGCTGCCCAGTCTCTAACACGCCCCCGCTGCTGCCCTGCTCAGTTAACGGTGAGATGCAGGCGTCACCCGCCCCTGGTGCCCTGGAAGCTGTCCCCGGTCTCTCTCTTTGCACTCATCGTCAGTCCTTCACCTGGTAACTGGTCACGGAGAGATTTTGGTGGGCTGTTAGCGAAGATGCGGAGCCAACTGGCAAGTGGCTCCAATGATGTTTACCTTCACGAAGGACGGGTGTTTGAAATCTCTCCTTTTCGGAGTTTCAGCAAGACGGCCAATTCCTTCCTGCGCAGAAGGTACTGAGGGCTGCTCCTGATATGCTGTCTGGATTCTCTCGTTTTTACTCATCACAGTCACATCTGTTTGGGTTTCTGTCTCTCTCCTGCAGATGCCTCTTGAGAGCAGATGCCCTCAGCTTCTTTACAGCTCATCTGAGGCCTGCCAAAGGAGATTGGCAGAGAACGATCAGCATCCCATGCTCCGATAACTCACATAACTCTCCCTGAAACAGAACGCTAAAACCTGGTTCCCAAGTGAACCCGGGAGGAATGGAATCAAAAAGATCTGTGTCTTTTTCTTTGGAATCTCATTTAGAGTTTATGTTCTGGTGGGGTGAGAAGGGAAGGGGGAGAGGGGGAGCATGAGAAGGAGAAGATAGAGAGGTAGGAGGGACATGGGACATATACCAAGACGTCATAGGCTCCAGAGCCAGAGGACTTTAAGGAACATCTCGTCTATCTCATCTCGAGGTTTTCCAATGTATTGTTTTCAGCAGTGGGATCTTTTTGGTTATTTTGCTCCATAAGGAATCCTACAATAAGGCCCAGTAGATAAAATACATGAAAGCAGGGGCACCTGGGTGGCTCAGTCACTTAAGCGTCCGACTCTTGGTTTCGGCTCAGGTCTTAATCTCAAGGTTCGTGAGATCGAGCCCCGCGTCATGCTCACAGCGCAGCGCCTGCTGGGGATTCTCTCTTTCCCTCTTTCTCTGCCCCTGCCCTGCTCTCTCTCTCTCTCTCAAAATACATAAACTTAAAAAAATTTTAAAACATGGGTGAAGGGACTTCTATCACCTCCACATACTCTTAGGTCCATGCGGAATACAATTTGAAAGCCATCAATATTGTCTAAAGGATGGCTTTAAGGATGGGAAAACTGTAGCCTCAGCAGGACAAATGACATATCCAGAGTCACACAGCCCATTCGCGGCAGCGGCAGGATTCAAACGCAGGCCTCCTGTGATCCAGGCTACAACGTTTTGTGAGTTGAGCTGGAGAAAGGAGCGAAGGCTGCTTTTTCTACCTGAACACGATTGAGGAGCGAGCTGGGCGGACCGCGCAACGGGAAGAGGAGGTCCAGGAGGAGCATAGGCAGTGATATCGGGGAAATTGGGGGTCCGGGGGTTAAGCAGGGAACAGCGTGAACTGGTGGGAACAAAGCGAGACAGGAAAAAAAGGCACCGTGGAAATAGGTGTCAAGGGAAAGCCCTTCACTCTGGCACTCAAATGCCATCCCGCCAGCGGGGCGGCAGTAAGACAGAAGGAAAAGGCAAAATCGCTTCTCTAGGGTGGGCTGCGCTTCTTTCATTACGCCTTTCTAAGGTGAACGGGGTCTTGGCACCGTTCTCCCTGGGAAAGTTGAGGCTTCTACTCAGACTCTTCTCGGAGTTCAGAAGCCCCTGAGGAATACACATGAGAGCTCGGAAAGGGTGAAAATATCCGCCCGACTAGTGGCTAAGCCGATTGCATAATATGATTTGGACCCAAAGTCAAAATGGCTTTCCTTCACTTTCCCCTCCTTGTCCTGGGTCTCTGTGAGTTCTCTTAAGGGAAGAGACAGGAGACTTCTTCCGGTCTATAGGCAGGAAGATGATGCCTAGAGGCCCTGGTGCTCAGCGGAAGGTAAAAGCATGCCAGGAGGGTGAGATCTTTTTCTGAGGCCTCTTTTGGTGAGGCTCTTTCCCTTCAGGGTGACTCGAATTCGAATCCCATACATCCTGGGAGAGGAATCTTCCGCCTACCCTCGAGAACCCATGTGAATCAGTCACTCATCAGTTATTTTCAACAAACTGTTTATTGAGCATCAACTACGTGACAGGCACCATGCCAAGGGATGGGAATATAGTGGTGGCCAAAACCTAGTCCCGATGTTCAAGGCGTTCCCAGTCCAATGAGAGCCAAGCAGGGTCCCCCCACTCCCCCGCACGAATTAAAGCCTGAAGAAGTGGATACCTGGATTGACGGGAGGTGCTAAAACGCTCCTCCACCTCGCCCTCCGTGTGCTTTTGGGAAAACCAAAACCACACAAAGGAGCCGACTGACCCGCAGGGAATTTCAGCCCATTGGGCAGGGCGATCCTGAGACCCTCCACCTCAGTGTCTGCCGCCCTCAGCCCCGCCTGCCTTTGCAGACACACAATAGCGCTGCTCACAGGGCAACAGACATTTCAAGACTGGGGCCCAGTGGAAGGGAAGGTGGCAGCTTTCCCTGGGGAGCCCCGAAGTCGGCCAGAGGTTCAGGTGATCCACCTATGACCGGCTAAGAGGCCCCCCAGAGTCCACTGGCTGGGATCTCAGGCAAGAAAGGACTGGGGTCTGGGCATCTGGTTTTGCATCTATATGAATTCCGAAAAGATCTGAAAGTGGGGAGGGAGAGGTCCAGCCAAGAGCGTAGTGGCAGATCCAAGGGAGAGCAGCTCTACTACTGGCGGCTTCCTTTTTGGCATCAGAAAGCAAGTAAAATAGTACAACGGTAGTGTCCCTTTGTCTTCAATGGGGGTGTGGATGGTACGTTCTCTCTTCGTTGCCTTCTCGACCCCAAAGTCCTCTTTCTTCTCCCCCAGATGAAACACAGAGCAGGGAAAGGACGGAACTTGTGACTAGAGGGAGGCGAGCAAAAAGCCGGGCTTGATTCCCGAGTTGGAGGGAGACAGCCTGCTACATCTGGAGGAGCAGAGGGGAAAAAGCAAGTTAGGAGACTGGAGATGGGCCCGGGCTTCAGGAGAGAGGCTCGGCCCTGCATTTCCCCAGTACCGCGTACTGTACCCGCCGCCCACTCTCCGCTGCGATCCCGAACCCAAACGAAAGATTGGGCGGGGGGCAAGGGAAAGACGGGGTTGGGACCGCACAAACTGGCCTGAAATTGAAAAGTCAGCAGAAACCACTGGGTGGCAGCGTGGTGTGCGGGCGCAGCTCTGCAGTGCCCGCTGCTGCTGCGACCGCCGCCGCCGCCGCGAGGGCTGAACCCGTCTGCGAGCCCTGGCCTCGCTCCCGAAGGGCTACAAGTGTCGCCAGGCGAAGCGCCTCGGCGGGTGTGTGTGTGTGTTTCGGGGCGGGGGAGGGGCTGCTGGGAGTCGCAGACCCGGGCTGGGACCCGGCGAACTTCCCAGGGGCTCCAGCCCCGGGGCTGCGTGGCCGATTCCGAGGCCAGCACTAACGCAACAGCCCGCCCCGCCACCTCCCTCCCCCGGCCCCCAGCGTCTCCAGGCCAAACGCCCCCACCCCGCGCCTCCAGCCCAGCCGCCCCCTCCCGGCGCTCCCCTCCGCCGCCGCCTCCTGCCGAGGCTGCGCTCGGGAAGAGGAGGGCAGGAAGCTTCGGGCGGTGGGGCGGCGCCAGAGCCCCTACAGGTGTTCGCGCGCGGCCCGCCGGGGCCTCGGGGGGCGGGGCGGCCGGGAGCCGGCGGGCTGGGCTCCGGGAGGGAGGGGCCGCCGGGGGAGGGGGCCTCGGGGAGGCCGCGGCGCTCTTCCGGAGGGTGCCTGCGGCGACCGGAATCCTATGCAGAGACTGTGCCGCGCCCAGAGCAGCAGCCGCCGCCGCCGCCGCCGCCACCGCCACCACCGCCGCCGCCGCCGCCGCCGCCGCGATGCGAGGCCGTTACCTGTTTGATCCCCGTCGGCCAGCTGGCACGGGCCAACTTTTCCCGGTCGCCCGGCCCCGAAGTTGCGAGGACTAGTCCGAGGCTCGGAGGGGCCAGGGCGAGGGCGCGCTCCCCCGCGCGCTTTCCCCTCCTCCCCCCACCCCTCCCGCCGCCCGCGCTCGCGGCCTCTCTCCCGCCCGCGCAGCTCCCTCCGCCCGCCTCCCCGCTCCGGCCCCCTCCGCGCGGCACAGGGCGGGGGGTGCCGCGAAACTCCGACCCGAGCCGCTTGGACTCGCACAGTGTCCTCGGGGCGCAGGGGCCGAGCGCACGCAAGCCGCGCCGCGCCGCCTCCGCCGCCAGCCTCCCGCCGCGATCCCGGCCCGCGGGCTGTGGCGTCGGCTCGGACCCAGGCAGCCCGCAGCCCGCAGCCCGCGCGGGAGCCGGCCCACCGCCCGGGAAGCCCGGACGGCATGCTGAGCCCCCTCCTCGGCTGACGGCCGAGCGCGGAGAAGCCCGGGCGAGCGCCGGCCGGGGAGACGCGGGCGGCCGCGGCGCCAGACCGAGCGGGGCGCGCCGCGGCGGCGCGGGCGGCGGAGGCGCGGGCGAAGCCGGCGAGGGGCCGCCAAAGAAGTGGTGGTGGTGGGCGTCGTGGCCATGGCGGCGGCTATCGCCAGCTCGCTGATCCGTCAGAAGAGACAAGCCCGCGAGCGCGAGAAATCCAACGCCTGCAAGTGTGTCAGCAGCCCCAGCAAAGGCAAGACCAGCTGCGACAAAAACAAGTTAAACGTCTTTTCCCGGGTCAAACTCTTCGGCTCCAAGAAGAGGCGCAGGAGGAGACCAGGTTGGAAGGGGCGCTTGGCCGGCTTTGGGGTCCCCCCTAGACTTAACGAGCGTGGAGGGGGCTGGAGGGCGTGTGTGGAAGCGTAGGTGAGTTTGTCGGGGGCCCATCTGGTGCGGATGTGGCCACCTAGCCGGTGTGCGTGCGTGGGAAGCGACTGCTTTCTCGCCGCCTTCGTAACGGTAACTGGCTTGCTGCATTGCAACTGCCGTGGGACAGGCGCAGAGCCCGGGGCCGTCGTCGGCCCGGGGAGGCGCGCCCGCGGCTTCGGACGTGCCACATGGGTGCATGCCCCGGGGCTCTGCGGGCGACACCCAGACGTGGCTGCCGTGTGTGTGGCGTGGAAATTGCAGGCGCCGGGCCGGGCAGACAACGCCGCCCGCCTTAGTGAGCCCCGGGGAAACCCTCCTTTGCCGTTACCCCTGAAACTCTGTCCTTCCCCCCCCACCCCCGCCAGCTTCCATACCCCCCACCCCCACCCCCAGGGACGTGAGCTTCCGCGATCTAGGCATTCTGTTTCTTTGATCGCTTCCAAGCTCAGCGGCACAGACTTGACCTGTGGTGCACCTTTGAAATATTTGCCGGGGAAGGGGGGAGTGGATTCCTGGAACCTTGTGGCAGAGAGCTTAGTGATCTGGTTAGACTAGTGAGCCTGGTTACTTGCTACTAAACTGCAGGGTTGACGAGCGGATTTAAACTCCTAGCCAGATTGTAGGTCCTTTGGAGCCTGTTCCGTGAGGAGAGGGGCGCGATATTCTGGCGCCGGGGAAATTGACACAGCTCTAAGTGTCAGGTTGCGTCAAGGTAGCCCTTCAGGCGAGCTTGCAGCGTATTTGGCCATTCTTCACCAAATGAAGCCTTTACGCTGCTCTTTTCTTACTTTTAACGAGATAGATGATACAGAATGTCAGACTTATCCATCGGATGGTTCTTTCTCTGTGTATGGGTGCCGCACACTGTGGGATGGAAACGCAGACATCCATTTTCTGTTTGCTCGAAGTTTTGAAGGCATTGGCTGGGAATTGGGTTTGTTTTCCAAAGGGGTAAGCGGCTGCAAAGCATGGTTACGTGGCCCGAATGATCACATACATAACATTTCAGTGCAGGTGACTGAATTCAGTAAAAGCAAATTTCGGATAACATGGCTGGTGTTGGTGAAGTAGGTACTTTATTAATCTGTGGTGATTCAAAATTGAAAAATCATTTTCCTGGAAAACCCATCTTTTAGTTAACCATATTTCCGATATTAAATGTGAAAATAAGTATAAACTAGTTTTCTTTCCTCCCCACCAACAAAAGCCCTGCCCTTTTTGTACCCATTTTTCCCTAAGCATAATTAACATGATAGACTATGATAATGTTTTTTTTTCCCCCTCCTCTCCCTCTTTTCTTGTACCACAGCTTGGTTTTCCAGATCATTGATGCCTTTTCAACATTCTCAGAATGGAGGGGACTCTGTATTCAAATAGCTATGGTTCTCAGGGAAGTCTGTTAGTGTGGTTTTGGTCCCTGGCTGGCAGACCACTCTAACTTCTCTTCGTATTTCTCCCCTTCCTTCCACGCGAAAAGTGGCACGTTGTGAAAAGGCAGAACCTGCCATTTGCCAACCCGTTCTGAATGCTCAATGAGCCAGAGTACCGCTCTGGAAGCCAGGGGACACGCTGTCAGAAACCAGCTGCCATCAGAAGCTTTAGGGCTTTACTGAGTTGCGAGGTAGAAAGCAAATGTTTCTTCACTTTGGACATTTGCTCTGAAACCCGGGAGCTGGCTTGCGCGTTTCCTTTCCAAGGACTCCTTAAAAGTTGTAGTGTGACCCTCGACGCCCGCCGACGTTTGTAAATGAAATCAGAATCTTTCCCGCAGCACGTGCCCAGCTTACCAATTGATGCAAATCCTCATTCTCTTTGCAGAGCCTCAGCTTAAGGGTATAGTTACCAAACTGTACAGCCGACAAGGCTACCACTTGCAGCTACAGGCCGATGGCGCCATCGACGGCACGAAAGACGAGGACAGCACTTACAGTAAGTGACGGCAAAATAAATCGTGTATCCCAGCACGTTGTTGACATTGTGTTTCCTTCGTTGTTTTGTTTTTGTTTTTGTTTTTTCAAATCCACAACCCTTGCTCAATCCTGACCTGAGTGCAGAAATACCATCCACCCCGGATTCCTGTGTACGCAGGTCAGCCTGAAGCCAGTCGACCATGTTAGTATCGAAAGTGGCGAACTATAGCAAATAATGTTGACACCGTCTGAAGAACAATCCAAATGTCATCTCCATGGTAATCTGGATGGATGTATGGCTGTCCTTTGGATTTTATTACTTTTTTCCCCACAGAAAATTTACTCACCCACACACTGATCCTGAAATAGCACATTATCTCTACTCTTAAGAATCGGTCTCCTCCCAAGAGAGAGGAGTGGTTTCGTGGCAGGAGAATTCATCATTAGGCACTTCTGCTTCTGTTCCCGCCTGACCCCTCCGCACACACTGATAACCCTGGAACTAATTGGGATTTTGACAATTGAGATTCCTCAGCAGGCGGGGAGAGGGACTTCCTAGAGCGTTTTATTTATTCATTTTCTTCTACCATGCTTTAAGTAAAGGCCAAGTTGGGATTATCATGGCGGACCCAACAGAAAGGAAGCACATCACAAATAAAGCCAATCTTATTTCTAATTATTGAAGTAAGGTGATGCTAAGCTGTTGCATAACCTTTTTATTACTGTTTATTTGAAATAATAATAATTTAAAAAAATCCTCCCACATAGCATAGCCCCCTCTTCATTAACGATTGGTGTTTTCGTGCCTTCTACAGATTTTTGCAGACCCATTAAATATTCCATGAGGCTGAAAACCCCTGCTTCCCACAATCCATTCTCTGTTTTCCCTCATTTCTATTGCATTTCCCTCCGAACTTGCTAACTTCCCAGCAACGTCTCCATGATGGACTCAGAAAACAGCCAAGGAAAGCCGGTCACAGTGCTCACAAGTCCTCGGTGGCATTTTGAGAGATGTTTGGCTCTAGACAGCAAAGCCATAGACAGGGGTCCCAAGGTTAAGTGTCACAGAACTTCTCACCTTTTAAGAATGCTCCCCGGGGCTGATGGCCAAGCTGTGACCTCAAGTCACCTTTAATTATCCTTGAAGAAAGTCCTGGTGGTACCAGGATGAGGAACATCTATACTAAATGGTCCCTCGCTGTTCTTGCAAAATGCTGTGTTACTGCTGTGATATTAATTCTACAATGAGTACCCTAGACGCTCTCTTGTGACTCTTCTTCTATTTGACAGAATCAGGCATAACGAAGTTTTACTGTGATCCTATACAAACATTCGTACCCAATGAGCAGTAATAAAACATTCTCAGAAATTTTATGTGAAATCAGCATTGAGGGAAGGAATTGGGAGGGTGTGAGTTGGTCTGGTGTTCAAAGTGCCTCAGCAGAATAGATCTGTTGGGCATTATTGAAAAAGGAAGCTTATGAGTAACCACTCATGAGCCCCACCCAGTCAATTTTTGCCCCATCTATTTCTGACTTCTCCAGATTAAAATCAGAGAAGACGTGATTTGGGGTCTAGTGTTCACGTGTGTTGCTTGAAAAGGAGACATTAGCATGTTTGTTGTGTTTTTTAAATAGCAACGTGCCCAACAGTGCCAAGATCATCTGGTATGTAGCCATTTTAAGAAATACATAGATACATATACACACCTACATATATTCACATCATTTGTACACATACAGATATACTTACACTCTGGCTGTAAATTATGTACTAGGTTTTACTCTTCAATTCCTACATATTCATAGCTTCTGCCTTTGGTTGTCTTCTACCTCTGGTATGGATGGCATTTCTGTGTACTAATGATACTGTAAGACCTTGAAAGAGCATAGCCTGGTAACCAGAGTCTGTGTTTAGGCAGAAAGCAGTAAGGAGAGGTAAGTCAGCTGGTGGCGGTAAGTATTACCACAACATGGAGCATACAAATGAAAAGTATCTCAGAAGAAATTGCAAATCTGTGGGCTTGACCCTGCTCCAGATACCAAGTGTGCCCAGAAGCCAGGGGACTAGGTGATCTTCCCGACCGAGGATATTGTAGGGCATAAGTCATCATGAAACAAGAATGTTTCATGATTGAAATGATGATTAAAATGACCATCATTGCAACGGAAGTCCAGCCATGTAAAGTTGTTCCTTTTTCCCCCTAAAGCCAAGCCATTTTCTTGGCACTTATTAATTATTTTAAATGACTAGAACAAGAAAACTGTTTGTTTTTTATTCGCCTGTAATTCTTTTGTGTATATAGTATTTCCTTAATATGTATTCCTGGAGCTGTGTTTATATTTTTCTTATTTTTTATAGCACCTTTCATCATTTTTTCACATTTAGTTCAAATTGATTTTACACTATTTTAATCCTGATGTGGTAAACAAAAGCATGATAAAACAAATTTGTTCACATTTACTCAGATCTATTCCTAAAAACATGTGTTTGGTATTATACATTTAAGCTGACCTGAGGTTTATTGCAGTGGTGAATGTCAGTTCAATAAAATCTCCTCATGAGCAAATCAGCCATTGTAAATTATGTATTTCCCCTTGAAAAAGAAAAGATGATAGACATTTCATGGCAGCAGTTTTATTATTAACTGCCTTGGGTGCGATGAGGGCTATTTTAAAAGAATAGGTAAGTTTCCCTTTAAATGTCCAGGAGAGTTCCCAGTTCAATGTGTCAAGCCTTCCCAATGACAATAAGATATGCTTTGATTAATTGCTCCCTCTGAGAAATTGACCTTAGCCCAACTAAGGAAGAAGGATGACCTTAGTGTCCTATTCAGTAAACATTTAAGTGCCAACTTGTGCTCATCCCTGAGCAAATGGTCCCTTCAAGGTAGAAGGCGTTTCATTGGTTTTTTTGTAGACCCAACAGAGAACAAACGAGAAACAAAAGCCTTTAATAAGAAGGGGCACCCGGGTGGCCCAGTCCTTTAAGCATCCAACTCTTGATTTCAGCTCAGGTCATGATCTTGGCATTTCATGGGATCGAGCCCCACTTCCTTGCTGTCAGCAAGGAGCCAGCTTCGGATTCATCTTTCTCTCCCTCTGTCTCTCTGCCCCTCCCCCAAAAGCACTCTCTCAAAAGAAACTTTAAAAAAAGAAAAGCTTATTCAAAACTTTGATGGAAATGGAGGAGGAGATTTTAGGTATTTAATGAATGTGTTTTAGATACACAAATGAAATCAATTGTTTTCTTCTCATTTAGAATATTTTCATCCTAATTAAAATAACGTCTTCTGTCCATGAGAAAGTACTCCAGATTTAGAGAAACACAGGCATGTAGGAAAATAGTGATTCTGCCCAAGCTTACCCTTGATATGATTTCTTTGCATTTTTATCTGGAAAGGCTGATGCCCCTTTAGGCTTTCAACCAACCCAGTGTATTATCTCTCTTGAATGTCTAAAGAAAAGACAAGACTGCATTCATAAGACTAGCCGCTGTCTGCTTCTGCTTTCTTCAATATTTGTGTTTTAGAGTGCTGATTTCTTATTCTGAATCGGGTTTCATAGAAATTTATGGTACATAGCGAAAAATTCATGTTCTGTTTTGTTAATACCATTTTTCAAGAATAGATAATCCTGGGCATTATCCTGATTACATAATCCTGGATTACCGATGGTCTTTGCTTCTCTTCCACCTACTGCTATCGGATGTTTGTAACTTAAGCATTTTATTGCTCATTGAAACCCACACCAGATAGTAGCTGAGGCACATGGTGAAAATCAAATCGTTTTCACTCTCTTTCTTACTTTTTTTTTTTTTTACTTGTTATAAGCTGCATGAAGAGAACTAAGGAGGTTACAAATGTTGTAAAAAATGAAGTTCTAGAAAGAATTCTGAGTTTCATTGATCATTACCTGTCCCTTCTTATGATGACCAAGCTAGGATTCAGACACAGGCTGGTATTCCAGTTGTCTGGTAGTACAGAGTGATATGGCTTTTATACCAAACCCACTTGGAAGTTCGTGTTTGGTTCTTTAGAACTCAGAATTCTTAAAACTATGAACTTCTACATAATGGGAATGTGACCTCTCACAATCCAAAAATACACTATTACCACGTTTTCACCATACATACTGCTGTCAGTCCACAAATGTGCATTGAGCACCTGCTGTGAGCCAGGCATCATCAAGAGAAAGATATATACATGACATACACAAAGGTATCAGACTTCTTGCCTGTGCGTTGCATTGTCAAATATAGCACGCGATCCTGGCTTGCAATCTGCGCAATTACTTTCCTTTACCTCACATGACAGAAGGGCGCAGCTCTTAATATGATGAGCATTGAATGGGGTGCCATCAGTGGCATGTGGTAGGAACACTTGTACTTTGAACTGTACAATATGTCCTAGCTCCTCTGCTAACACCCTGGTTTTAAGGGAAATATACATTGTAGGCTCCCCAAGGAATATTTAGTTTTTCATTAATGTTTCTCATCCATAGTACCCCACCTATATACATACATACACACACACACACACACACACACACACACACACATCAAGGTAAGAGATCGCAGAAAGGCCCTTCTTACCCATGTGGGGACTCTTTTACACTCGTGTTCACAGAAATGATAGCAGACTGCTACATCATCCTCAGTAAACTTACACACCAAGGCAAAACTCCTCAGTATTGGTCTATGACTTGAGAGAAAGGTGCACAGGCTAGCTTCAAAAGATGTGTGTGGCAGGCACTACGTTTTAAAAATGTACTGTTTTATTTTTATTCACAGTGTAGGAGGGAGTAGACAGCTGGTAGGGGGAGGCCGCCCACTGGTTTTCTCCAGTGAGTGGTGTGTGAGTGTGAGGAGAGCATGGGTGTAAGTTTCAGGCACTCAAACCTTCAAATGGAGACATGAAGGCCGCTTTGGTACCAGCTGGCCGCCTCCTTACAACTATTTTGCTAAACAAACAAACAAACCTTTCAAGTTCATCTTTCGTATCCCTTTAACCTTTGCTCCTAGAGACTGAAAGCTAGGCACGCACTCCGCCCTCCTCAACCCTATCTTGGAAAATGTTGGTTCTTTAAGAAATACTACTCTGGGAACATAAGATTACAAAATGACTTTTTTTTTTTTTTTCAAGGCCTGGATTTATTTTTGGGTTGTTCCATTGGAAATAATACAGATAATTTAGACGAGGGAGTTGGACTAGTATCTTTTCTAAGATTGTAGGAATCTCTCCCCAACTGGTAGATCATAACCATGTCTGTGAATTTTAGCAGTCATCTAGGGGAGCAGTTTAAAATAGTCCGTTGAGGATAGAGCTATTTAATATATAGACCAATTCCTGGAAGCCTGTCGCTCCAAAAGCATCCGGATTCCCTCCTTCCGACACTATACAAACCATAGAATTGTCTTCCCTGTCCCCCAGGGTGTTTGAGAATATGTAGTTATAGTTCCAGTTACGTGATGGCCACCAGAAATCAAGGGTGGAATATTAAAAGGGTAGAAAAGGCCCTATCTGTGTGTAAATATATATGTCTATTTTTACCAAGCACACGTTACTTTTAGAGGGCCAGACCTGCTGGAAACCTAAAAAGCTATGGAATTCCAAAGGATAACATTGTTTTCACATTCTTTGTTATTTTAGCTCTGTTTAACCTCATCCCTGTGGGTCTTCGAGTGGTGGCTATTCAAGGAGTTCAAACCAAGCTGTATTTGGCAATGAACAGCGAGGGATACCTGTACACCTCGGTAAGACTTTCACTGTGCTCATGTCTGGATTATTCTAGTTTCCACCTGACGTGAATGAAAATATGCTACCTATGCGTAACCGTTGCAGGTTTCTGGGAGATGAGGAAGAATGTTCTTGATGGAAATGGCTCCTTTGAGAGGACAAATGAACGTCCAGTGGAAATGCTATCTCTTGCTAGTTAACTATCTGCAGCTAACGATTTTGGTCTGCTATCAAAGATCCACGAAACATTTTCGCACATGATGACACTTGAGTTGATAGAATGCTCTGGGTGGCTGTCTTTGCTATGCACCCGCGGAAAGCAGTCGTTTCTGTCAGTCAGTTCAACATCTGTTTAGCCATGTTTACCCTGAAGAACTGAAGGAGAGCTCTTCCTCCAGTTAACTCTAGGATGTACAGGACAGTTCTAGAAGTTCCTCTCTTTTCGTATCTGCAGTTCAGCTGCGCCCCATCTGTGATCTCTACTATGTTTCCATCAAGCACATTTCAGCCTCTCCGTACGTACCAATACCTTCTCTTCCCAAGAAACGTGTAAACAATGTAGACAACACTTCAGTTAGGAACAGGAAGCTTTTTAAAAATGTTTAGCATGTAGTTAGAGGCAGAAGCGGTATAGTTACCGCGGTTAGGATTTCACTCGTATCAGGAGATCTAGTTACTGGTTGTAGGAGACTGCTTAATACATGGATCCTCTGTAATCTTCGCTTTGGATTTCGTATGTTTTCAGAAAAGGCTGGGATGTTTAAAATGGAGAAAATTGCTTGCCAAACTTCCCACCAGATACCCTCGCAGGAGGCTCTTACCATGATTAGACAAATCTATTCCTCCATGCGCCCAAGTGGTTAACTTTTCAGTACTATTTGCTCTTGGCCATTCCCTGAATTTACTGCAAAGCCAGGTGTGTGGAAAGTCTGTTGGGAAAGAGGTGAGAGAAGACTGAGACCACAGAGGGCCCATTCCTTTGGCAAACTGCGTAGTTCATTTCATATCACGATAGAATGTTATTCACCAGCATAATCCTCTAACCCTGGTCGCGGTCAGCGTTCCCGTCAGGCCATTTCAACTGTTGTGTTTCATAAATGCAGGGGTTTTCTTATTTTTACAACTGATAAATTTGGGTTTATTGTAATATTCATGACACCCATCAGTAATTAATACACTGCTATTATTATAAACAATAGGAAAGGGGATTTGTTTTTCAGATTTGCACGTTAAGGTAAGAGAATTTAATAAAGAAGGATTTTAATTCACCGTGTTTAGATCCACAGACTACCTCGACAGGGCCAGATACAAAGGTAGGTCGTTAATAAAATAAATGACTGTTTTCTGAAACTACCATGCAGGCATGGGAAGGAAATGGAATATATATGAGGCGTACTTTTGAGACGGTAAATACCAGATGGCATAGAAAATAATTCTTAGGAAATAATTACTGGTCAAGAATCCAGAAGGGTGAATTTTTTTTTAATCTTGCAACCGTAATTGTTCTTTTTTTACCTTTGGAAATCATATTTAAGCTAGAGGAAAAGTCATGTAAGTTTGGTAATATGTCGGGTGCCCCCACTCAAGAAAATTAGGGCGTTCAGTATTACACGTCGGGAACTAATGTCCAAAATGCATAGCCTAGCATTCAGGTTGACCGTTATTTTAGCAAATCGGTAAATGCCAACATGAGCTCCTTTCTAAAAATGGGCTTCCTGGGGCGCCTGGGTGGCTTAGTCGGTTAAGCGTCCGACTTTCACTTAGGTCATGATCTCGCGGTTCGTGGGTTCGAGCCCCGCGTCGGGCTCTGTGCTGACTGCCAGCTCGGAGCCTGGAGCCTGTTTCAGTCTGTGACTCCCTCTCTCTCTGACCCTCCCCTGCTCACGCTGTCTCTCTCTCTCTCTCCTAGAAATAAATAAAACATTAAAAAAATTAAAAAAATAAAGATGGGCTTCCTTTCCATGATGGGCAAGCTGATAGCAAAATGTGAGACACTCGGGATGGATTTTCCATTAAGGAAAAGCAATCTTAAAATAAGCATTCCCTATTAAGGAAAAGAAACTGCTTTCGTTAAGGAAGAAAGACATCTGATTGATAATCCCAGAGTTCATGCAGAGAAAAGTAGCTTATTATCTGCTCCAGGAAAGAATCTGAATCTTCTCTGGGGTACGTGTTCCAGTTCTCATTACTCCTCATGGATCATGGTCTGGAGCCCCTTTACAGTGTTGACCCTCAGCGGTGTTGAGCACTCTGTCTCATGATTGTTTAAAGTTTGGTGCCCAGACTCTGTGACGACAGAGCCTGTCTTAACGACTCTTGTCGCATCTCATGTTGTTGTGACCAGAAAGCTATAGGAAATAGGCCTCATCGGGAAGAGAAAGGATCACCACCCCCCCCCCCCTTATGTGTAACTATGCCACTTCTGCTACTGAAACACTATGCCATTTTGTTAAGTGCCGCTTGGCAAAGAGAAGATAGGTTTGGACAGTGACCTAAGGAGGAAGCACAAGCAAGAAAAGGAGGTGGGGGCGACTGATGGGGGCCAGTTAAAGAAAAAAATCTATTAGGAAGTTATTGGAAATAACCTTGGTGAGGAATGACAGAGGTCTGCCTTAAAGCATCTGCACTGGCACTGGCTAAAAGGGCACACATTCTTCATAGCTGTTTTAGAGGTAGCATCGCCAGGATTTTACGGCTGACTGCATTTGGAGGGGAAGCGGGACCATCGCGTGTGGTCAAACGTGTATTCTTGCCCTTTGCCACACAGATGGAAGTATAAAGTAGCTTCGGGTAGAGACACTTTTTAAACTTGGCGCCATGGTGGGTTATCAGGGGCCCCAGGGGGAGAGGGAGAATTTTACCTTTGGCAATTGCTTTGGCGGTGAAGCGGTCAACCACGATGGAGACTAAAGGAAAAGGCAGAACTGGGAAGAAGATACCTGAGTATCGCTTGCTATAGCTGTTTGAAAATGTGAACATCGAGTCAGAGAAAGATGGGAGCTAGAGATCAAAATGTGGGCGTTCTCGCGTGTAGGCGGTGGTTGATGCCATGAGAATAGTGGAGAGAACGTGTAGCACAAAAAGATAAGAGGGTTTGTCAACTAATATTAGGGACTGCCATCATGTAAGTGGCCAGCAGCAGCAAAGGAACTCACTGAGGCAGATCTCATGTATTACAAAAGCTGAGAGGGGAGCGCGTTTTCCAAAGAGTCAGCAATGTCAAGTGCTTCAGAGACAACAAGTCACAGGAACTAGGAACACATCAAGGGAAGGTCTTCAGTGATCTTGACAAGAGCACTCTCCGTGGAGTAATGGCCACAGAGACCAGACCAGAGTCAGTGAGTTGAGCAGTGAATGGAAAGAGCACAGGCAGTAAGTATAGAATATCTAACAGTGGGGCGCCGGTGGGGCTCAGTCGGTTGAGCGTCCAACTTCGGCTTAGGTCATGATCGATCTCACGGTTGGTGAGTTCGAGCCCCACATCGGGCTCTCTGCTGTCAGCGTGGAGCCAGCTTCGGCTCCTCTGTCCTGCCCTCTGCTCCCCCAACTCACACTCTCTCAAAAATGAATGAACATTTATTTAAAAAAAAAAAAAGAATTTCTGGGGCGCCTGGGTGGCTTAGTCAGTTAAGCTCAGGTCATGATCTCAGGACTCATGAGTTCGAGTTCCGCACTGGGCTGCGTGCTGACAGCTCACAGCCCGGAGCCTGCTTCGTGTTCTGTCTCCCTCTCTCTCTGCCCCTCCCCCGATCATGCTGTGTCTTTCTCTCAAAAATGAATAAATGTTAAAAAAATTTCTAAAAATGAATTTCTAGCAGGAGAGACAGGAGTTGAGGAAGGCTTGGAGGGTTCTTTGGGTAAGACACTTGAATATATTTATTAGGTGAAGGGAAAGAGCCAGCAGAGAGGAAGGAACTAAAGACCTAGGAAACGGGGATGTGCATGGAGTGGGGTCCCAAAGGAGTTGAGAATGATGGAATTGAGTGTTTAGATTCACCTGGACCAGAGGGATGCTGCTTCTACAACGCGAGACCGGGATGAGGACAGACAGAGATGTGGGCGTCCCAAGTCTGCAGGTGATGGACAAGACACTTGAGGGATTTCCAGCCAGAAGGACCTGGATTTTCCCGGTGAAGTCGGCTGAGAGGTCACCTGCTAAAAGTCAGGGGCATAGGGATGGCACAGGTGAAGATCTGAAAGAGCTGTTTGGGGAAAGGGGCGCGGAGACAGCCTGGCGACCAGGGCTGGTGATCAGGGCTGTGTTAACTGCGGGCCGCTGGCCAAATCTAGCCTAGCACCTGTTTTTGTAAATAAGTTTCATTGGAACGCAAGTCCCGCCCATTCTTTTGCTTCTTGTCTGTAACTGCTTTTGTGCTATCACAGCAGAGTTGAATAGTTGCAACGGAGCCCTTAGGGCCCCTGCAAAGCCTCAATTATTTACTATCTTACCCTTTTTACCAGAAAAAGTTTGCTGACTCCTAGTCAGACCGCGGTTCTCAACTTAGCTACCTATTAGAATCACCTGGGGACCTTTAAAAACTTCCATTCTCTGCGCTCCACTCAAGCCAATTATATCAGAATCTGGAAAGGTGGGGTGTCTGCGTGAATATTTTCTAAAACTTCCCAGCTGATGCTAGCGGGTAGCCTGGGTTGAAAACTGCTGATCCCGGGCCAGGAAAAATGATTGCTGAGAACCACCCCCACCCCTGCCGTGAAGTCAGAAACTGTGAACTCCTGTGCGCTTTGTCCTTTAGTTTTTGAAATTTCTGAGGCTGGTCTTCTTTTTCTGCTCTTGCAAACAAATTGACTTTACATTTCCAAAGAACTGTTTCTTGAGATGAAAGAAGATGCTGATCCTTGGACTCTCTTTCTTATTTCCTTTTTTTCTATCTCTGTTTGCATTTCTGCTTGTACCTCCCTCAATTTCCTTGAAATTCAGTTTTACATCTTTACCATTTCTTCCTCCCTTTTGTCCATTAAATGAAGAAACAATACCGTCACGTCTTTATTGCTACAG